ATACACTCTTAAAAGTTAAAATGTAATCAAAGACAAGTTACTGGAAAAATCGAGTATAGGAGTGTAAGATAATTTTTGTAGTTCATATTAGTAATTATGATAAGTAAGCAAAATAAGCTATTGCCATATAGGTAATAAGAACGACAAAATACATGGGTTAATGTAATAGAAATATGACAATGGCAGAATGTTATATAAACGTAATATCAAAGTTTATTTAAATTGTTATTACAATCGATATAATAATAATATTAAGAGGTAGGTATACAACAATTTTAATAGAATCTCCCTTCTTTTTACTTATTGAACCGAACATCACTTTTTTAATTTATTCCCGAATTAAAGAGTTCATGTTTTGTATTACGTACTTAAAAAAAACAAAAAACATATTTTATAAGTAAGTACACAACTATTGAGTGGCGTAGTCCATTTGTCGTCTTATAAACCAAAATACTGCAAAATTAGAAGTAAGAAGTTTAAACTTTTAAAGCTATACCTAAGAGAATTTTAATTTCTAGTAGCAATAAATCATTTTGGCTTGTGATCATCTTATTGATTGACGAGGTGGTCGCACATATCATAATTAAAATAATCAACCTTTCGAGTTTTGATAACTATTATATACATACATACATAATACATTAATTGTATATAATAAGGTAAGCCCCTAAAGTTAGTTTGATGTAATTGAAATACACATATTAGTAGATAATACCTACAAAAACAAAGATTTTATTCGAAATTTATCAATACATTGGAATCAGTAATGGTCTAAGTAGAATATAATTCCTCGAAATTGTATTGAAATAATATAATAATTGTAGAAGGATGATAAATTACAGAGTGATATTTTTTTTTTACAGTATAGATTTGTCAGCTAGATACTACCTATAATGTTGGTTGATCTTTTGATTGTAATATCTATAGTACCATTATCCAATACAAAAGTATTTTTCTATGCAAATCCATTCTGGGAATTTAAAAAAAAACTTTCGTATTAAACTTATTACTGATCTGCGTACTGTACAACACGATCATCGTTAAAACTTTTTATTATTATTTTATATTTTTATATTATTTTTAATATCACGCGCAGGGCTTAGTACATATATATCATATTTCAGAGTCAGATGAATGATAATCTGACGGGCGAGCAGTCGGCGCAACCACCGTGAGGAGGGCACAAGTACATTCAAACACCGAGTAATCGAAAATTCACGATACGTTGATTTGTCAAACTGGGAAATAGCCAATACGGGTGTTGTACACGTAGTTGACTATTATATTATAATATAATAATAATATCATGTGCGATATCGCGTTCTGCAGTTATCACGTAGGTAATCGTTTCGGGTCACGCAGTGTTGGATCCTTATCATTGTTATTACCTATTTCGGTGTCAAATAATTGTAATACTAAATGGTAACACTAAACATATATTATAAGACCTATATAATATAAACTGTTTTCCAGTATCTCTATACCACTGTAAATTCTAAAAGTTATTAGAACAATATTAAATATTAAATATTATATTGTATATTACTATATTATAATATACAAAATAAAATATTAATATTTTATGACATGATCATCAGACAATACATTATAACACGTTACAAAACGGTTCGCATAAAGAGTCTAATATGGGAATCGAAAAAATAAACATCACTAATTTTTTATATAACAATTTTAATAAATGGATTGTTTTATTGATGTATAAAAGTAATAAAAGGAACTTTTAGGCGAATGATTAGACAAACAAGTCGCTAAAAACATATTGAGTCACCAATCAATAAAATCTGCGATAGAATTTCACTACATAATTTTAAAACGTAGATAGTATCTACTAGATACCGTAGGTAACGTAGGTATTGATAAATATTGTAAAATTGTTTATTTTTTTATTATGAAATGTAAAAATGAACTGTAAAAATGATAATTATTTAGCTATTTAAATTCAAATTAAATCAACAAAAAAAAAAAATTATATACAAAAAAAAAGTAAACTCTAGTCCCTAGGGCTTGTGCATAAAACTAAATATTTGAGAATAAAAAAATTACATAACAAGTAATTTTGGAATATTATGTTTTTGCTGAAGGGCGTTAATAAACTCACTCTATATTATACTACCAGTACGTTCTATGCTATATGGCATATCATTTTTTTTCTATTTTTTTTTAGAATACAAACAAGAATACCTACCTATATATATTATATACAATCTGTAATAATATGTATGCAATAGGTAATATTTGGGGAGGGGAGTCCAATGACCCTACTTCACAATTCTAGATTTTTTTTTTATTTTTATTTTATGAATTACATTTTTTAAATCAAAAATATAGGTATTACCCACCAGTGTACCTACTAATGATGAAATAAGATTTTCATATCAAATCAAATAGTATTGTTGTTATAATATAAATTTAACTTTAATGGTTGATATATAATTTTGATAAAAACATTCGAAAAACGAAGTATACATTATGATTAATACCATCATAAATGTTGTAAACTAACTTCAAACATTTTTGACTTTATCATGTAAGTAATAAATTAATTTTATCATAAATTATAAAAAAAATGCGTACAAAATATATGATATCTAAAAGTTAAAATAGTGACTACCTATTGCATTAACGCCCTATATTAAGTTTATGCTAATTTTTATTTATGTACATTAATACATTCAAACATTGCCCATAGTTCAAATTGGTCTGTTAAGCCTAGCTATTGCCACAAACTAATATTGAAGTTAAAATATTTCAAGCTGTTCCAATTTATGAGGTAAATCGTACACTGCCCAAAATATATTATAATAAATATGTATTACAATAACATTCAGAAAATAGTAATTTCAACTACTTGTACCTAATCACGCATAATCTTATATGAATCTAAAATCGAATTATACTTATGTTACACAACATTAACCCTTTCTACTGTTTTGTATTGACTAAATTCACTCGAAATAAACATTAAAAACGTACAAACAAAACACGAAATAGGTATTCAGGTTATATAATTAGGAAGGTACACTCCAGATATTTTCGTAATATATTATTATACATGTTATGTGTGTGGAAATCAAAATATTAGTATAGGTTGGTTGTTGGTATACGTAGATGGTTAGCATGCTATAAAACTTTAAACATAAAAAAATTATTTATTGATTTATGTTATGATCTGATAATAAAACAAAGAAACTACACTGACCGACGGCTGTAGTTTTATGCGAACAATAATTATAACAGCTTAATATATATATACCTACTCGTATTAATATTTTTAAAATAATGATTTCTGTTCGTAGGTATTTAAAAAATAATAATCCATATTATTGTTCAATAATAATACCTACTAAAGTCTAAAGATATCAACATGAGGAATTTTTATATTAATTGTTGTGTAGGTAGGTATTGTTATCGCGAATAAAAGATCAAAAATTACACCCACTGATTTGTTTAAAGGTATAAAAATGTATGTTTAAAATAATTCAAAATATTCCAGTTTCACAACTATATTTAAGAGATTAAATCTTTATATCGGCTTGACGTTATAAGCTATTTGTATGTACATACACATAAATTCATATTTTGAAATATACATTAAACACATTATTAAATCAGTTAATCACTATAGTTACCTACAATAAGACCATAGTACACTAAACTTATGTTTGCATAATTCATTCGCATTGGAATGTCTGTCATTTCTGAAATTCATAAATAACCATCGAGCGTATTATTTCATAGAAAATTTAGGATGTTATGCATCCGCTTTTCAAAATTTAATGTATTCATTCGGAGTGAAATGTATTAAAAATGCATTTAAAAAAAAAAAAAAAATTGAAGTGCCTTTATTTATTTTTATTCCGATTTGTTATTACATAATTCTGACGCACGAATTAATCTTATTCCACATTCTGGTTAGGAGTATACTAACTTTACCCTCAATAACTATTGCTCGAGAGTACGACCTACCTATGTCGAGGAGTACCACAGTTATTTTAAACGAGTCTTAAATTGAGTTACCCGTACAATAAATTACGAAACTATTGATATTTAAGTATTCCGATATTCAGCTGAGTGTTTCGTTTTGAAAGTTGTGTTTCAAAACCAAAGTCGACAAAAGGTCTGCGGATAATGTAAGCCCGTCATTGCAAAAATATAACCACATATTATATTTTGTATCAATCACAAAATTACGGGTTGACGTCGACGGTCAAATTAAATATATTATTATCCTCGGTATTAGACACGTTGTAGCCAGTAAGGATTTATAGCTTTTGAAATTTGAGAACAGACACGCGCCAATTAGAAGTTGAAAAGTAGGAGTATAGGTTGTAGGGGTGTGTAGGTTGGAGGAGAGTGGACTATGACAAGAAACTGCGTCGCCACGAGTCTGCAGCGTTTCGGTCGGATTCTAATACCTTCACACGTAAGTACATTTCCAAGAAGTGGGTAATGGACACGCGTCCGCCACGCTTTTTCTAGTCTTATTAACATATGTGCTTAATATATATAGTAAAGAAGCAATCAAAAAATAAAATAAAAATAAAACATAAACATTGCACGTATGGTAAAAATTCCAAATGAAACACGTCGTCGTCGTTGTCCGACTCGAAATGCTCGACGATGTGCGTTTTGGGGATTTGAAAAAATACATATATACACCTATATACGTGTATACAGAATGTGTGTGTGTGTGTGTGTTTATATATATATATGGGGTCTGAGTGTATCCCTATTAAAACGGAGAGAAAAACTTTGGTACCGCCACCGCCGCCTGCCACCCGTTTATTGCCGTCGAATCATAAAAAATCCTGCTGAATTTTCAGCTCGTTAACCCGTCCTTCCACCCATGCAACGTCTATACAGATACCACCGTCATCGTTCGTTGGTTTTTTTTTTTTGCCACCCACTACCCGCACCAAGGTCGTATTCGACTTTTCCCATCGGTGGCGGCGTTTATTCTCCGGACGTGTTCTGCTTACCGTGAGCAATGATCTCGCCGGCCTCTCGGGTCCAATAGTTGATCGACTTGGGATGCGCTTCGGACAAACACTCGAGAGTCAGTGATTGGCCAATGAATGCTCCGATCAGCTGGTTTTGAATCCATATCATTGGCGGGACTGTGGACACACGTGGACGGTAAATTTAATACGGTATTATAATATTATTATTTATTACTATGGCTTACTATGTAGCTATTTCTTATTCAGTCTAAATTTAAATATAATAATATATAGGTACCAGCTGTATAATCATAGTTGGAAATCCAGTAATTTCCAGATTTTTAACATCGATGTGAGTCTTGGGGGCTTTGCTCCCACACAACTAAAAAAACTGTGTTTTTTTTGGGGGGGGAAGCTAATGAAATATTTTGGGGGTGAGAAGGGGCTTAGCTCAACTTTACCCATGAATAAATGGGCAAACATAAAATACGGCAATATAATATATCACTGTATCTTGGTTTTATAGTGCAACTCACTTCACGGTAAATCGTCATCGGTGTAGCTCACTTTGTGAACTAATTTCAACGAGATGGGAAATCCGCCTGTGGCAAATAGTATATAATATGACACTTGGAATATTTTTAAACGTGGTTTGAATTACTCACTGAACTTTCCTGATATATTATCTAATAGTATATAAGCTACATGACAACCGCCCTTTGCCTTTTTTTTTTGTGCACTTTAATAACAAACAATAAATTAAATATTATTTTTTTTTATTCAAAAGAACCCCATTGCAACACAAGGACATACCTTCCATTTTTTAAAAGTAATGTTCTACATCTACCTAACCAATTTGGCAACTCTACATATATATATATATAAATAATCTGATTTTTAAATAAAAATCTAAATGTGAGCCACCCAAATAGCACCCTATAATAGGATTGAAAAACAAAGCAAATACTGCTTATTGATGACCTAACCTATGGGTGAACAATTTGGCTCTAATTGGTTCAATAGTTTTCAAGTCTATGAGCCCCGTACAAATATACTTTAATTTGTATATATTATTATTTAATAATATGTAATAATATGTAATAAAAAGTATAAAACATTATAAATATCTGAATAGTCTATAAAAAAATTTGAAAAATATAAAATATGTAAATAGTAAATATAAAAAGACGATAAAATGTGACATAAAACTTATTTTGTTCAGAGTCTTTTAAAACTACAAGCATTTAACATATTATTTTGTCAAATCTGATACATTTTTTTAAAATGTGAAATAACAGTAATATTATGTATTTGCCATAGCTATTATAAATCGTTAAAAAAACCCTGTTCATTTTGTATTATCTTTTGGGCAACACGAAACAATGACATACAATGGAAACGCATGGGGTGAATATTATTATTATTATAAAGCTGTTATGTAATGTAATACATCGACTTTACTCACAGTTCACCACCAGCATAATCCGTTTGCTGACCGATGGCGGTACCCCGTTTGACGCTATGCACAGATACGCTCCCATGTGAGAGCGACTGATCCGTGTCAGATTCAGAACTGGCCCTTCGACGCTGTGCACTGTAACAAATAAACACACGAAAAGATAAAGTCTATAATATCTCTACAATTGTATGTCATACGCATCACTTTTTGGTCTTAAACGAGTATAACTCTATTATTCTATGTTTGGTCAGGTTATCATACGAAGGGAATCTGAGGTGTACAATGGTCAATGACATGTACTATGATTAAAACCTGAGCATTAAGCATATTATGGTGCTTATAAAGTAGATGTGGTTTGATGTTTAAAACCAAATTAAATTAACGAATTACCAACCTACGAAATCTTTTATAATCTTATGACTTTTCAAAAACGTATACTCGTTATTCTTGTGATGTATAATGATGATAAGTAGGTACCATGTAATAAATTTAAAACTGTGTTAATAAGCTATACCTATATTGAAAAAAACATTATTACTAATACAGCTTAAAAAACAAGTCAAAATATCTTGGTCATCGTAAAACACAGTACCTATTAAAAATATTAGAATATAATGTGGCAACACAATATTTATATTATAAATGCCAATATAAATGTCTAAACTACACCAAAACACGGGAAGTCTTTACTAATCAGGCAATCCCAATCCAACATGCACATGATAAAGAAAGCACAGAGCCAGTTAAACTTTTCTTCGATATACAAAAATAAATTATTATAATAAACTATAATATAAGAGCTAGTACAATCAAGAATTTTGGTTAGGTACATGTGTAAAGTGTCGGGAATAACTGAATTGTGAAGGCTCTAAGTAGTATACCACACAACCACCCGGGCAGATAAAATTAGTAAATCTCCATGCCAGGACCTAGTGATGTCTCTGGGGTTCATCGTGGATTGTTCGGGAGAAGAGTCGATTAATAAGTGGGTTATGACGGTGGGTTAACTTTGAATGAAATGATAGATAATCACCTGGTTTTGAAGAAAAGGTGATAAATGTTGACAATATTAACTTAATAAAACTGTAAATAATTTAATTAAAATTGTTTTTTTCAAGTGTTACTTATTACTAATTGTATTTTTAATTTTAAGGGCACTCAAACCCGGATTAAAATAATTTTGGGCTAGGGGCCAAACTTTTTTAGGGGACCATAAACATAATCAAAATATTGGTGACCCACAAATAAATATATTTCAGAGATACAATTTTTTTTTTACTTTGTAGGTATATTATATTTCATTATTTAAATACTTTTTATAAAATGTAAGTGTTTAAACAATGAACATAATATACATAATAAATTACAAATATTATTCTGTGAATAGGTAATAATCAAAAGTTATCATCAAAAACAGCTTTATTATTTATAGCTAAATCTATAATACCTAGTAATAATGTTTGAACAGTAGTAAATTCGTAATCGTCAGTATTCACCTATATTCCTATAAAACATAAATCCCATTTCCTTACCATTTATCACCCTGCTAAAAATAGACGATATTACGATAGCATAATAATAACAATAATAACATATCCATTATCGATATAATATAGAAATATGACCTATATACCTATTACCTAGTAAACGTTAATTATGTATTTTATTAAAATATTTCTGATTTAATAATAAAAAAAAAGTATTATCCGCTAGGGGCCCAGTATTGTGTGATATCCGTGTGGATGGCCCCTTCTGTCCCCCCTTAATCCGGGTTTGAAGGTACTACATACTACTACAGTTGTTGTTGTAGTCGTGACAGATAAAAAACAAATATAGCTGCATATTAAATTTTGGCTACGCAGTCCGTAGAGAATAATAATATAAGAGCTCGGTGACTATATATTAATAATATGTGTGTATAGTGAAGCGTATAGCAAACACTAGAGAATAGTTCAGTTACAAAATAACGAGGCCACCTTCGACGGTGACCATTACAAGTCTTTAGTCAAGTAAAAGGGTAATACCTGATGCACTATTGTACACATTCTCGTTTCTTAATCCTAAACAAACGGCCTCGCGAGAGCTCTAACTTCAAAATGCTATCGTATGGTAATTATTACCATATTGTCAGACCTGTTCGAAACTGCAACGTATATATTTTTTGTAATGTGTATTGTATAAACAATACTTCCATTCGGGGGAGAATATACGTCTATCGACCGTGTCGTATTAAAATTTAAAAGTCAGACTAACGAAATATAAATGTACGTTTACGGGCGACACACTATTTTTTCTACACGCACACACACACACGCACTTACATGCACTTAGGAATAACTCTCACTGTATACACGACCGCCTGGCAGTAAATAGGTTGGTAGGTTGGTTTAAGCGTTTGAACTTACCGATCTTTTTAACGTATTATTTTTGTATTTTGTCAAAGTTATATCATTATATAGATATGTGGAAATCGAAATGGTAACAATTTGAATATTCTTGTAAACATTTGAATAACACGTCCAAATTCAGTTTCTAAACGTGTTCATAATTACTATTGTGGAGTCTTAACATAGTATAGTTACCGATTATTAACTATATTATCTCTAAACGTAGATATACCGTATCAATTTGTTAGCCAGTTAGGTACTATTTTATTATATGCCTATACTGATAAAAGTTATGAAACATCGAGTATTTGAGAAATTTGACTTGGGACCATTGTTTCTGGACTATCATTAAAAAAGTGTTCATCCGTGCATTAGTAATAATGTTGAATCAGAACAAGTAACTGAGAACTTTTAACTTATATTCTTCCTCGGTTAAGTTGTTTATACATTAATATTGAATTCCTAACTATAGACACCTACTTAATGAATTTAATTCATCAACAAAACTAAATACATTTTTTTAACAACTACGTCAAATACTCTAGATAGATATTATTTTTTTTTTATTTAATACTGTACTTATAGTTAAAACTTAAAAGTAATTATATTTTATAGTTTCATCGAACAGCGAAAAACGTATATTTTTTATCTCACACGAGGCCAACTTAATGGTGAAATTAGTGTTCGCGTTTTAAAAAACATGTGTAATAAACCTAATATTTACCACTGTGGTTATTTTCGTGATACATAGGTACATCTTTATATATTTTTTATTTGGTACTTTCATTCACGTTCCAATTGCACAAATGATAAACGTTTAGGGGTGTGATACTACTTTTTACAGCCTTACATACTTGGTGACGGCATTACGCACCATGTACTGAATCTGAAGTCATTCACTCCACACAATACCTAATTGTTCTAGTAATAATTGTAATAAATATTGTTGTCATGACTTATTCGTGGACGGTGTCTGACTGCAAGGTTGAGTTCAAACTTATTGAATTAATAAACTGTCATATTATTATTAGACGAGAGTATAGTATCTCTGTTTGACGGGTCGACGGCGGTGACAAGGCGCCTCATATAATATATAAATGTAGGTATATGAATACTAGTAACGGACTTTGACGACACCGACAACGAAGACGCGACGGCGGCAACCTCTGCTGCACCCTCGTTAGAGCCACTCGACGGGAGAGCTGATACTTGACCCCGTCGCACTTAAAAAGCCGACCATCTCTCTTTTTTTTTTTTCATTTTTTCCATCCGTTTGATTGACAATCGAAAGCCGCGCCCGCCATTATTGCCTCTCGTCGAAAATATAACAGTATATATATATATATATATAGCTATATAATAATATTATTATGTAGTTGTTTATATAGATATACGTGTTGCTCCATTACATCGTACCACGGCGTTTTCGGAGCCGGCTGTTGCAAACGATTGAACCATCGCTGACGTTTTATTCCTTAATTTTTTTTTTTATTATTATTAGTGTTTGTGTATTAATTTGTCTTTAGTGGGGTACGCAGTGAGTTAAGACGTGTACACAGTTATTAATAACAAAATATGTTATACAGCAATGTGTAGTTTTTTAATTGTGGTCCACTCGGTTTTTCCATCATGCGTTTCCCAAAAATTTGTTTTGACACAGTTAATAGTTTAGAAAAAATCTAATATTTTATTATGTTGATTTTTTTTATGTTTTTTGTGCCCAAAAAAGGTATTAAAAACTAAAGTCATTATTTTTTTATTTATTAATACGCATTTAAAGTTTAGACTACTAGTTTAGTATTGAAGTAATGGATTTCAAATTTCTCGGGAATTTAAATTTTTCTCATCTATAAATTTTAACGTTTTAATTACTTCGTACCATGTAAAACGTTTTATTACGACCTAAGCGACGGTGATAAATGCTTACTGCTTAGTGCCAAACTCCTTCATTATAATATTTATTTTTATTTTTTTTTTTTTGCTTGAGTAAAATACATTTGACGAAATCTATGTTTATTAATACGATATTATTATAAGTATTGACATAAGAAAAAAAATATAAGAAATGCTTTAACCATCATGAGCTCGATCAGAACAGAATATAAATTATAAGGTATAGTATGAAAATTATTTATAATTACAAAATGTATAACATTAACAATATTAACAAATTTAAAAAATCCACTTTTATTATGATTTGATTTCTAACAAATCTTAATTATATAATCTCTGAAACCTGCAGTTAAAAAGAGTTATTAAAATTACCTTTTTTTGTACCAATGTTTTTCTTTGAGCAAAAAAATAATTATGTTTAGACGAGGATTACATTTAGATAATCAATACGTCATGTTTATATTTGTATGTGACAACCTTAATTAGTATTTAAATAATTACAATTTATTAGAAAATGATTTTCATTTCGCTATCATGATACCTAATGGCTAAGAGTCAAATATTGAAATATTGCATCAACATAAAATATTTAAACAAACATTTTATTCGTTATGTATACCAATTAAATGGTTACTGTATAATCTATAACAATTTATTATTGTCACTGCATACAAGTTCAGGACCAGTATCAATGTAATTTGTTCAATTTACTACGCTTTACTGCAGTTATTAAAAAATAACATAATAAAACCTGATAAAACATCATGAGAAATAATTAATTTGCCATTTCCTCGTATTAATATAAAATTAAAAGTTTGAAATACTGAAATATATAATAACTATTATGTCTATAAT